CAAGCGAATTTTATTAAAAAATGCCTGATTTGTTTTCTTCTCTCACACATTATTATTGTAAGATAAGGAATTAGTATAGTACACTTAATAACTTCTCTTCTTTTTTTTGTATAGATTTCTCATTCATCACATACATTTGATTTGAATTATTTACGTTTTTTTCGTATTATTGAACTTTTACGTCATAAAAGTAAACCAGCTATATTAGATGCAATTCGTTCATTGAATTTATTGAAAGAAGCAGATTTTAATCTAATTGATGGACGTCTTTGTGTACCACGTGCATTATTTATATTTGAAAATCATCATCATAAAGGCAATGATGCACTTAATGGTAATGATCGGGATGATGATCAAAAATTGATAAATATGGCGCATAATTTAGAAGATACAATTTTTAATGCTTTAAGATATTCTTATATTATTTCTAATCAAACGTAAGATATTATATTGGAATTAAAGAGATAATCTAAACGATTTATCTAATTTTTCAGTAGTTTTTCCTTAGTAGCTAAAATGAGAACTATTGCAACGGACTATATATATTATGAATATAGAAATATTTCTTATCTATTATAGTAATTCAGCATTATTTACAATTGCACATAAACAACCATTTGTATTTATTCATCGCTGCTACAAAGAATCTTCATCATTAGGACAAACACAAAAATTACTCGGAATCTTACAAGGTTTTGTTAAACAAACCAAAGAATCTTGTTAGTAGAATAAATATAATTTTTGTTATTATTATTTTTTTAAATCTATATCTTATAGCAAGTAATTCAAATCTTAATCGTTCAAATTTTCATCAACAAGATGATGCGCATGCTTTTAAACGTTTCTTATTTCGTCATATTGAAGATGCATTAACGGGTGGTTGGTCAAATGATGGTATATCTGGTGGTGCACGTAGTGAAACATCATCATTTGAATTATGTACATATCCAATATGGATACGTTTATTTAATTCTATACGTGAATTATTTGAAACAACATCAGCACCAACAAATAAAATTATGCGACAAGCATTTGGTATGCTAAGAGCTAATGTTGATCCTGATGGAAAATTAAGTGAAACACGATGTAAAAAATATTTACCATTAGCAATTAGTTATTATGAAGAAGGTCTACCGGCAAGATATACACAACATTTTCATGAACAACGAGTTCGTACAACAAAACTGAATCGCTTTTTATTTCTCAAATTTTATTTTTCTTCGTTAGTTACAAGCAACAATTGAATATTTTGCAACATATGCACGTGGTTCAAGTTATAAACGTTATGTACAACAACTTATTGAGCAATGTACACAGTTATGGCATGATGGACGACAATTATGCGAAGCAACTAGTTTAACAGGCAATTCCTGTAAAAATGAAGTATGAGAAACGATTTTATTAATTTATCGATAAATAATATCGAGCGTCTTTCTGCCAGATAAAGTATTCATATATTTGTCAACAAAATTTCCATTGGTTATATAAACGAACAAATTAGCGTAGCTGAACCCTTCACTTTGAAACCGACTCACTAAGGATAGAAGTGAATCGATTTTTTTTCTATTTAGTTTCAATTGGAGCTAATAAAAGTAGTTAGTGAAAATTGAGGATTATAATGACAACAGTAAAGCGATAGGTGAATCTTTTACGTCGTTATCCAACTTTGAATATTTCTTATATGGCCTGAGAATATTATTGTAGTAAGTGTTACAAGTATCATCCTGTAGAGATTTAACTATTCTCGTACCTGAAATTTCGCATTTCTAATGTTTGTGATTATGTTATTGTTGAGAGTGACCTATATTAAATACAGAGATCATTCATGACAAGTAATTAATATAAACTTCACCTTAACCATAGACAACTTGTACTAAATTTGTATATTAACTGTATTTAGCTACATCGTGTGCCTGGTGAAGAAGATTCAACAGATGCTTCGAATTCTGCACATCTACCTACACGAGCACATAATAGCAAAGTATGAAATAGTTATATTTTTTGTTCAGGTTTATTCTTAATTCATTTTATTCAAGATTCAATTAATGGCAGCTAGTAACTGTGGCCAGATTTTACAAGAACGGGAAGATCCATTTGATATAAAAGTATATTTGTAGTATTTTTTGAATAAATCACAGTAATTTAATGTGTACTTCTTTTTTTGTTTTCTATCAGGAAGCAAATTATGAATTTTATCAAGGTGTTAATAAGATGTTATCAATAAAACCGATTTATTTTGAATTTCCAATTTTTCGTGGAAATGTTACATCTGTCGAAGTTGTTCGAGCTGGTTTGAAAAAGAATACTTCCATTAATCTTATTTTATTTTTCTATCTCTATATAGGTAGTAAACAAAAAAGTGAAATAAAACTTTCTAATCCTGTCACTGATCTCAGTGGTGCATCTGAACTTAGTAAATATATTTTTTAAATACAATACTATCTAATTTTATATAATAGGTCAATCAAAATCAGTTGCACTTTTTTCACTTGTACCCAATGAAGAAGAACAAGCATTAGATAATATAACTGGTGAAAAAACAGATACAAATAAAATAGTTACATGTACTGATGATGTACAACCTATTCCAAGTACAACTGAATATCTTGATGGCATGTCACATTCAGATAGTCAACCAGGATTATTACCTCGATTTAGTTCTTGGAGTTTATGTTGTATTGGTCGAGCATCAGATTATGTACCAACAAAAGGTAATTTAAAAATAAAATACGGATTAATACAGTTTTTAAAGTATGACTATTTTATTTTAGGACTTCAACAACCTGGTTTTTTGACTAATTTAAATCATTTAATACCATGGGATATAAATCCACATAATAATCAAGCAACAACAAATAATGCTGGCGGTGGTGGTGGTGCACAATATCATCAACAACGTACAACAGCTACTCGAAGTTATAAAAACAATCGACGAGGTTTATTTTCTATAAGATTTATATTTTATCTTTTAATTTGTTTTTTACAAAATTTCAGGTGCAACTAGTTCATCTATATGGGATGTTACCGTTCGTGTTTATATTGGTTGCGAATATGAATGTCCTCGTGGTCATAGATTTCTTTGTTCATCACCTAATCATGTTATTCGTGTGGGTCAAAATGGAATTGTTAAAGTTTGTTTTAAATGATCAAATCGATTAAAATAACAAACTTCTTTTTTTCTACTTAGGATGATGGTGCAAAATTAGTTCGATCTGATATGCCATTATATACTCCATGTTCCTGTCGAATATCATCAACAGGTGCACGTGTATGGGCACAATTAATGCGCGCCTATGTAGTAACACCTTCTTCACCACCAATACAATGTGTACTTCATCCACAAGTTGTACCAGCTGGTCCAAATAGTCCAACATTTTTTCCAAGTTATACTCAGCCGATTCATCTAACAGATGATTCAATATGGGTATTACGTTTTCCGTATGTAATCTTCTATTAATTTTTTCGAAAATTGAATAAATTTATTTGCTTTATATAATTTAGATTTATTTATCATGACGGTGAAAAACCTCTATATCGACCACAAAATGAGGAAGATATAAGTCAATGTCTTGTTTTACGTGATCTTTTTTCATGGACAAATAAATCTTGATATTAAATTTTGTAGAAAAAGAAAAATATATGTTAATTTTAGTAATTGTTTTTATTTTTATTTCTTACAGATATAAAATTATAATAGAAAACATGCCACAAGGTAAAACAAAAAATAAACAATTACCAGCAAATATGAAAAAGAAAGCAACAAATAAAGTTAATCCTGGTAAAATATCAAAAACTGTCATGCATAAAAAGAAGAAAAATATAGGTGGTAATGGAAAAACCGGACTTAAAGCTGTACAAGAACGTTTAACAACACAAATTGCTAAAAATATTGAACAAGAATGTGCAAGCAAAGTTAAATCAAATGAAGGAAAATCATTATTAATTGTTAATGCTAACTGATTATGTTTTGTAATTGTTTGTATTGAAAAATTAACAATAAAATAAAAGATACCAAAACGAGAAGAAACTCATCATTTTTTATTGAAATAAAATTTAGTTATTACATTTTCCGATAGTTCAAAAATTATTTCTAGCATTCATTGTTATAGAGAAGTGGAGAACTGTAGTTACTTTGAGATTCAATATTAGGTTCTACGTGTGCTTAACAGAGACTATTATTCTATTCGGTGAATATATATTCGATTTTTCTTCTATATTAAATTAATTAGAATTTTGCCACGTCATTATACATTTGTTGTCCTTTGTGTATTTTATAAATAAATAAAAATAATCATATGCATAAAATTGCCAGCTGGTGGCAAGACTATTTAAAAAGAAGCCGAATGGATATTTCTAGTTCTTTTTCGAATATATCATGTTACTGTTAACATTTCTTTTGATACAATCATATATCATATGGATATCTTCTGTCGATGGAAATATTCCTTTTCCAAAAGATATGAATATACACGTTCTATTTCCACCTATTATTCAAACTCACGAATCTATTCCTCTTGGTCATCTTCGTCCATTAGGTTGGCAACGTCGTGCTGACGGACCAATCTTAGAAGATTCACTTAATATAGAACCAGCACGTTTCTATCATTTATTTGTTCAAGGAAATCGATCTGTAGTTATACGTGGTATTGTTTCAGCATTAGATGTTTTATGGACAGATAGTTATTTATCGAAACGTTATGGTCATTTAAATGTTACTGTTGCTAAACGAAAACAACGTCTTATTGATACATTAATAATGATGCCATTCAAAACATTTCTTGAACAATATAGACAAGATGATTTATATATGAATACAATTATACCTGATGAAATGAAAACTGAAGCATCATTACCATCACTTATTACTTGTGGAATATTTAGTAAACGTCTATTAGAACCTATTCTATGGATAAGTGCAGGTGATACCGCATCACTTCTATATGCACATGCACAAAATACATTACATTGTGTATTAGATGGTCGAAAAGATTTTATTATTTATGATACTTCAAATAAATATCCACATGAACTTAATCTTATAAAACAATCAAATGGAGATTTATTTTCTCGTATTGATGTTGATTTA